GGTCCGGGCTGGGGATTCGAACCCGCCACCTTAGGTGTACGTGGCTGGCGCCTTAGCCGGTTGAGCTATAGGCGCCGAGCCGCTCTTTTGAATGAATTTGTTTACGGATATCCATCAAAAAGTCACCAGCAGCTGGAACTGGCAGTGTTGTGGGATGCATGTGTGTGCGCATGCGTGCATGGGTCCATGCGTGCGTGCGTGTGTCTGTATGTGCATGCGTGTGTCCGTGTGTAGCCGTGCGCACACGTGTGTGTGTGTGTGTGTGTCCGTGTGTCCATGTGCCCGTGCACAGTGGTAGCCATTTCGGCTCAAAACCTCCAATCGTGGAAGGGCTGCTGCTTCTTGACTTAGGAGAAGACACACTTCCCTGAGCACCTAAAATAAATAAGTAAATAAGTAAATAAATAATAATAACAATCCTAAAAGGCACCCCCCCCCCAGGTTTTAAATTCTCTCTCAGGGCATTCAGGATGTCTTGCTGTGTGTGAGTTTTGCTTTGCTTTTCTCTCCATTGTTCTGGGTGGCATTTCTGGGAATCTGGGTCCTTAGGGCTTTCCTGCGCTCACTGGGTGAGTTTCTGCTCTTTTACTCACTAGCTCAGTGCAAAATGGAAATTAGTTATTTACTGTTAAATGCATGAGGACTGGGATCTCAACTCAAAACGACAGCAACAGCAAACACACACAACACACAAAAGGAGGGGTTTACTTGCCTCTTAAGCTACAACCTATGAGAGTTTCCTTAAGAAGTCGAGTTTTTAGTTTACTGTGACTTTTCTTGCCTTAAAAAAAAAGCAATGTCATTAAAAGATTGTTCTCTCTTTCTTTTTTTTTTGGCCCAGGAGCACAGGGCTTCAGTTATAAAAACTGTTGGCCTGATTTGCCAAGAGCTTTTCTGCAAAGAACCTTTTCTGTTTTGCTGGGGGAGGGGGAGGGCTCCATCAGCAGTGGTGACTCTGGCCCCAGCGGCTCAGTTCCTTGGTCTGGTTTCTCTCCCTCCTGCCTGCGGGCACTTCTCATCTGGGCAAAAAGCCCTGTGCCCAGTGAGGTGAAACTTGCAAATGGTACTGTCACCTTCCTCAATGGACTGCGGCCCAGGAGCTCAGCAAAGGTCAGAGCAGGCAGCCCCCCACGGTGTCTGGAGACAAAGGAGTAGCAGCTGCCTGCTTTCCTGGAGTCACCGTCCCATGCTCTAATGATGGCAACAGTGTAGGCAAAGTCGTCTCCCAGGAAGGCCTGCCCCACAGGGACTTGCCCTGCAGTGTGCCAAGTTAAACATTCTAGTGGGGGAGACGGTTCTCAGCTGGTAAAGCGCAGACACGGGTAATCTCCAGGTGTAGTCAGGATGTGTGAAGAAGTTAACCAGCGAACCTGCTGGTCTCTATTTGGAGCCCAGAATCCAGCCAGTCCAAAGGGCCCTCTCCCCACTTCAGTCTGGGTTTTTAAGAGAGGTCACTTGTTCCTGAGCACACTTCCTGCGTGCCTGTCGTGCCCAAGCCAGGCTTTAACTTGCCTAAGAGGCAAACTCTTCCCTCCGCTCTAGGTCCATGCCAGGAGAATAGATCACTGGTGGTTTCCACTCCATGTGTAGATTAGTGCGTGCCCAAATGCATTAATTACATGCGTTTATTTGTATGAACACGAGCCTGGGCATGCATTTCCCTGTCCCCATATGTGATGGGTATGTATGTATGTTCACATGTGTGCAATTGCACGTGTCAATACCTATCTGAACGTGAATGTGTTTCTCTATGGTGGGCCCTGCAATGCAGTCACCTTCCGGGTGCTCAGGGGTGGCAGCTTCTCAGCTCGGTGGAAGCAGTTTGCCCCTCCCACCAGATCCCAGGACAGCCCAGCACTCACAGGGCTTCAAAGGCCCGCCCCCTTGCCTCAAGAATGGGCCACTGTGAGGTATAATTCATGTTCCATCTGAGAGCAATCCTTGCTGAAGCCCTTCTTTGCCCTCTATTCTCTCACTGCCTTTCCCAGGGAGCCCACTTAGTCTGTCCCTGCCCCAGGCTCTGCTCCAGGCAACCTGACCTAAGCCAGCATTTTAAGATATGTGCACGTGTGTGTATAAATACACAGGTGCACACGTGTGTGTGTGTGTGTGTGTGCGCGCATGCATGCCCCTGTACAAGGATATCCAGGAGGATTTGGGAGAAAATTATCTTCCAAAGAAGGTTACAGAGGAAAAGTGTGGCTTTTATATTCTGGAATGTAAAGCCATCTAGACATGGAGTAGGAGAGACCTGCTTTAAAAGTTGAAAATTAAAAGATACTTTAGAAGGAAATGTATTTTCTTTTTTATTGAACCAGAAAAAAAGAGAGATACAGTGTCCGCGACTTTCAGTCAAGCACAGGTTACTTTAGATTACATTGTACTAGGCTCACGGTCCTGCTTATTCCTCTGTACAAGTATTAAAAATAAAAACTCAGGTATTTGAATAATCTTCTGTAAATTTTTATTAACTGAGGTTACGGGGAGGGTTTTATCAGAGCACATCCTGAGAACCTCAGGAAATTACAGATGCATTTGAAGCAAGTGTCAGACAGAACAGATGAAGCGAGCCCTCAGCCATCTGAGAAACATTAATAATGTAAGATCGCAGAGACAAAATCTTTGTTAGGGATACAGGATGCGGGATAAAAATGGAGACCCTAGCGCCCCCGTGTGTTGTAAAATAAACTTGCAACTTCATTTGTTTGCTTTTTTTTTTTTTTTTAAGTTGTAATCCTTGCCCTTTGTCACTGGAGCCTTAAGAGCAATTGTTTTCCCAAATCATTTTAAGCCCTCTCCAGTCAATCTCTTCCCTCTCATCAAGACATTTCAAGGACTTTATTTGAAAAAGAACCCTTACTCATTCCTTTTTTTCATACCCCACACATTCCATTCCAGGAAATTGGCAACCACCCAACACAGCCTGGGTTCTCCCTCTTTGAAAAGTGAACTTAAACACATGGATTTTCGTCTCCTTTTTCCAAGCTTACAGGATGAGCACTTATTTCCTACAAAGCTAAACGCTTTCGAGCAGATGCCTTCCTTCGGCAACTTGTAGCTAACGTTTTTCATAACTTAACTCGAATCCATTTCTCCACACTTTCCCTTCCCTGCTTGGTAATCGGCAACTCTTCCGACCTCACTGGTTAACCTGCTCCATCACTGTTACAGTTATTTACCCCAAAAGACTGGACCAAAGACATAAATAATACACCTCAGTATATAACAGCCTGGGCTTAATTTGTACGCAGAATTCATGTGATGGCATCAGAAGAATATATACACGGAATAGGTTTGGGGAGGGGATGGGGTAAGGAGGAAGGATCTTGGTGGCAGGAGGACTTGGTGGGAACTGTGGTGATTGTTTACTTGGATTTGCCAACTGGTCCGATGGATACAGGGTCCGTTTGCACTTGAGCGTCCAACATCCGCTTTGGTCCCTGTAGGAAAACAGAGAGAGGTTGTAGCCTGTTGTGGGGGGGGGGGAGTCTGTAATATCAACAGCACTTATGTTGCATTCCCTCCATGCCAGGGTTGTGCTAAATACATACATCTTATTCAGAGTGGTAGATGACAGAATTATATCATAGTCTCTCTTTGTAAAGGCCCCAATAAATTATTTAACTCTTTAGGTTTTGGCTGCTTTTCTTTTTTTTTTTATTCTGAGACAGAGTCTTACTCTGTTACCCAGGGTAGAGTGCCGTGGTGGTTGTAGCTCACAGCAACCTCAAACTCTTGGGCTCAAGCAATTCTCTTGCCTCGGCCTCCCAAGTAGCTGGGACTACAGGCACCTGCCACCATGCCCAGCTAGCTTTAGAGATGGGTCTCGCTCTTGCTCAGGCTGGTCTCCAACTCCTGAGCTCAGGCAATCCACCTGCCTCAGCCCCCCAGAGTGCTGGGATTACTGGTGTGAGCCACGGTGCCAGGCTTTTATGTTTTGGTTTCTTCATCTTTAAAGTGGGAGTGATCAAACTCATCTCAGAGAGATGTTCCCAAGATAAACAAGTGCATACTTGTCATGCACTTAGAGCAGAACCTGGGGTGTAGAAACCCCCTCAACTGAACCTCACTTTAGCACTTCCCTCCCTAATTATCATCTAGCTCAGTGATTTTTTTTCTTTTTTTGAGACAGAGCCTCAAGCTGTCCCCCCTGGGTAGAGTGCCGTGGCATTACAGCTCACAGCAACCTCCAACTCCTGGGCTCAAGCGAGTCTCCTGCCTCCGCCTCCCAAGTAGCTGGGACCACAGGCGCCCGCCACAACGCCCGGCTATTTTTTGGTTGCAGCCGTCATTGTTGTTTGGCAGGCCTGGGCTGGGGATTCGAACCCGCCACCTTAGGTGTATGTGGCTGGCGCCTTAGCCGCTTGAGCCACAGGCACCAAGCCTAGCTCAGTGATTTTCAATGGGTGTGCCCTGAGAGGATCTTAGGTCTGCTGTGAATACGTTTAAAGATCATTAATTATTTTCAAAGGAAGTTCAAAGCACAGTGAATATATTCCTTTTCTTTCACTCTTGCTTTTTGATCAACATAATTTCAGTGTGCCCCAGAAGTTTACAGGTTCAAGGGCACCATGAGATATAGCTCTAGCACCCTGATTTATTTTCTCATCAAACATCTCACTCTCTGAAGGGATTGCATTATCTATTTATTTGTCTGTAAGCTCCCTGAGTCCCATCTCAGTGCCTCGCAGGTGTCTGCAGGTAACAGGTGTGCCTTGATACTGATGGACACAGTGAAGGGTGCTGTGCGTCGGGACCATTCTTACTGTTGATTTACTTCTTCATCTGGACACGTCTTTGTTGTGGAGGTTGTCCTGAGTGTGTAAAACATCTAGCGACATCACTGGCCTCTTCCCACAACCTCCCAATAGCATCTGCTCTCCGTTGTGACAATCAAATAATTGTGACTAGATGCCTGCCAAACCTCCCGTGTGGGACAAAACCAGCCCTGGTTAAGGACCACTGGGTTAGATGTACCCCTCTGCCCCGCCCAGGGATTCCATGGATGAGGAGATGTGTAGAGATCGCCCTACGGGACTCTGAAAAAAGAAACCAAGAGCCAAAAAAAAAAAAAAAAAGAAGGGACCTGGGGCTCTGAGCTCAAAGCTTCAGGGACCACTATTCTCTCCAGACTTGGTACCACCCAGAGCACTGTGGCCTGGCAGAAGTTTCAGCAGAACTTTGGGCAGGACAAACACATCATCAGTTTGGAAATAACTGAGCAAAGTGTGGTCAGGTGTGCACGCCTCTCCACCAAGCTGGAGCTGAGCACGGAGGAAAGGCATCCACCTAAATCACTCCATTGACTACAGGTGACCAGTCTTTATAAATCCTGCCTTCCTTCATCCCTTCCTTCAAACTAAAAAAGAGCCTTCCTCCTGAGGAGCTGGAAAGAGCTATCGGGTCCCTGGCTGGGCCTTCCCGTTTCCAGCAGCCTCAAATCTTGGCTTTTAGTGCTCTCTCAAATTCAGGTTCTACACACAGGCTCGGGGATGTAGAGAAGACAGGCAGATGTGACATGTTACGTGAAGCTTTAACCTTGACTTTGAGATTCTGCACTTCTGGCAAGTCCCTCAGAGACGCTGATCTGTGGACTACACCTGGGGCCGGAAAGCTACTGCACTCGCCTACCTTGATGAATTAGGGGTCACCAATAGCTACAGATGTCTGTGAGATAGGACAGGTGCCAGTGATCAAATAGGTTTCGGCCAGCTTCTCTTCTCTACCCACCTCTACTGTAGCACGAAGGCTGACCCCAGTTCCCTGCAGTCAGGGTTATCCTCATCTCCATCCCTGGCTCAACCCACATTCCCCTCGGTCCTGGGTATGACTTTGCATATTTCTCCTCCAAGTTTATGCTTAACCACCTTGCTTATAATTTAAGTAATGACCCTTCAGACTCTCTGTGTTTTCCAAGATTTACATTATCCTAAATATATCTGACATTTACTAGTGATATTTCACTGCGTCTATCTGCCATCCATCCACCTAATGTCCTCCCTTTCACCCATCCATTCAACAGATAACGCAATTGAATCTATGATGTTCCAGCCACTGTTCTGGGATGGGGCAGCACTGTCAGCCCATGAACGGACCCGGTCACTGTTTTCCCAAAGCTAACAGTCTAGGGAAGGAAATAAACAAGAATTAAATAAGAAACAAATAACCCATAAATGTCTCATGCCTGTAATCCTAGCACTCTGGGAGGCTGAGGCAGGTAGATTGCCTGAGCTTAGGAGTTCAAGACCAGCCTGAGCAAGAGCAAGACCTCATCTCTAAAAAATAGCCAGCGGCTC